ATAAACAACCACTTTTATAGTTAAATGGCATTAATTTATTTTTTTAAACCTACAAAGTAATTCACATATTTTACAATCTAAAGCATAATATAAGAACTTTTTCTTTAAAAACAAGACAACACATGGTGTTTTTATCTCTGTCAGTGTTCTTTCAATATGTTTAATCCTTTCCGTGCAAATCATATAGTCAATGCCACATGCACTGTAATGTGTTTTATATTGACAGTTCATTTTGACATAAAAATAGCTAAATGTTCGTGACATTTAAAGAGTTGCTTTTTTTGCTGGAGGAAGCTTTATATATGAGGCAAGGAGCCCGAGGAGCAATCAGGTAATTAGAAATATAGAGGACTAAAGCCCACCTAAAATAGGTCAAGGCTATAGCTACTGTTATTTTTCTTTTTGCACTTCACAGCACAAAAGGTAAAAATAGCCTACTTCAAGAACCAACACATATAATAACATGTACACATTGACACAAAATACATCATTTATTTGATGTAGTTACTATCAAAAAACTTAAATTATACCAAACAATCGTCTTTTGCATAGGGCTGTCAAATGATTAAAATTTTTAATCAGAATTTTCAGTGGATTAATCAGGATTATTCACTATTTGCAACTACACCTGAATCGTAACCATTTTTTTTCTGAAATGCATACCAAAAGATAAAAAATAGGACACAGATACATAATTTTCATATTATGTCTGTTTATTAAAACAGCCAAATAATTGTGGTTTAAATCAAGCTGAAACATTCTACACACCGTAATATTAGTTTTTGCCATGTCCCACCGCTTCCTCTGGCATTCCTCTTAACCAGGATGTACAATTTACAGTATTCAATTGAACAGTAAGCAATAAATGTAGTCAAATCATAACAGTGGCCTACCACATTTTTATCACACAATTGGAGTCATCTGTTAAAAAAAATCACAAACCAAAAGAACAATCTTTTACCTTTACCTCCATTCTTTAATCCAGTTGCCCAAGCAAGCCTAACTACTGTAACATGGTGCATTGAAACTGGTCTTTTTGTTTCCACGTAACCTTTCAAATCTACTGAGCTTTCTCATCTTTCAGCCAGTTGCTGAGGCAAACTAACTTCTTTACATTTTCCTCCAACTGCAACCCAGTACTGGGAAACATCCATATACTCTCATCCACACATATACACAACAGACAATTTAGCTTACCTTATTCACTTATAGCGCATGTCTTTGGACTCCCAGAAAGTGCTCAAAAACCTCTGGAGCAGCGCCACCTTTTGGCCAAAAGTGATTGGCCCCTTAATTGCTGCTTGCAGCTATATTATCATTACTGATTGTATGAGCAAAATATCAAACATTACAGAAGTCAGTAATGCTGAGTGATGAAAAGATGATGCAGACCATGACATAAGATTTAAATGGATGGGTTATCCGGCTCTGTTTTCAATGGTTAATGATGACTTCCTGATTCAGATTACTCTCTGGAATAATAATAATTTTAAAAAAAAAGTTTTATTAGCTTATTACTGTGAAATTGAAGACTGCCATTAGGTTACAAATCCATGTCTAAATTGACTGAGTTCAAAGGTTAATTACAGTTAATTATTTGCTATCTGAATGACTTGATGGCATTTAAACAGTGACATTGGCTAAGTCACTAACCACAATATTCCAGAAAGCATCCTCACTCTAGCATAGGAAAAATAAGCAGAAAATTGAGTTGAAGTCATTTGTGTAAAGGCAAATTCTGCAGTAAATCACTCTGTCTATGTGTGTGTGTGTCCTCAAGTGCAGAGGAACATAATTGTTTGGATGTTGTGTAGAACAGAGAGATAAAGTTGAATGAAAGTGTTTGAATCTGATGGTTAAATAGCTGATGTACGAATTCAGTAAGAAGTATTTATACTGCTGCAGCGAAAATGAACATTTTAGGAAACAGAAACGCAGCGTGAGCTTTAACAGCATTTTGAAGTAGTCAAGTCAACTCAAGTCAATATTAAGATTCTTGTTCAATTGGTAATGCTTTCAAACAGGTTTTACTGTCAAATGACAAATATAAAAGATTTTCACAAATCAACCATTTGAGCAAATAGCTAACCTGTGAGCATTTCTAATTGACCAGACAGTAAGAATCAAATGAATTTTATACAAGATCATATTGTCTGCTTCTGTTATGTTGAATGGTTTAGTTAGAGTAAAGTAATATGGTACAAACAACAAGTTGAGAAGATAATTATGAGGTTTAGTCTTATTTCTGTTAAAAGATGCTTGAGTTTAAATTACTTATGTTTGATCATTGTAGAATTAGACTAAAATTGTGTTAGTTTTTTACAATGTCTATGACAGTTTTTTAAATATATTTAATAAGTTTGCTAAACTATTAAAGCACCAACACACCCAAAACACACAATTGGCAAAACAGTTAATTTCATGCTCAAAATCAAACATTGTAAACTAAACCTCTAAACTTCTTTTCAAAATACAATAATCAACAAACACACTACACCATGTCTAACAAAACACTGTAAACATGTTTCAAAATGAAATAATTGTTCAAAACACAAACACATGTTCTCTTCCAACAGAAACATGTAGTCAATCAGAACACATTGACAATAAAAACACTATCATCAGTTTACAGAAACTGCATTATTTGATGTGTCAGGTCTGCCCTTATATTTAAAGCCTCTCTAAATTTTTGTGTTATGGGTTTAGTACAGTAAATTCATGCATTTAGTTTTTTTATCCTGCAGAAATTGAATATAAAAAATTTACGACCATCCCAGGGTAGCTTTAAAAAAATTCACAGTTTACTGTATGTGAAAAAATACAGACACAGAATTGCTGCAGTACAGACTTTATATGCAAAAGGACATCACTGCAAGATATACAAACAGAAAAAGCGCCGCAATTATCATAAAAAAACTAAGTAATTTTCTATTCTGCCTGGTCTTCTGCATTTGCCCGACTTCTTCTCTGGCCTGGCCTGGTAACAGTGGCCCTTTGGCCTATTATGTTTCTCCTACGACGCAATTTCACCAAGTTGAAGCCAGCCTCGTCAACATAGATAATTTCATGTGGGACTTGATTGGCCTCCAACTCCATGACAGTCTAAAAGTAATTAGACAGTGTAAATGGCTCACTGTACTGTTTGAATTTAAACTGTTTCTAATTGAATTTATTTAGATTTCTGTTGTATTTAAATTTCTGTTTGTTTAAATTGCCGTTAACTGGATGCATACTGGATGCAAGAAATGTGTTATTTGTATAGCCCACAAAAACGGATGTTGTGCTAACCATGTTAAGAGTTTGGGAAACTTTTTAAATGTATTGAAAAAAAGTATCAAAGCCATTGTAAAAAAAAAACTGTAAACCCTTAAAAAGTGGGAACAAAAGAAATCGATTCACAATCCCTCTTCTTGCATAATAATGTCAGGAGTGCAATAACAGTGTTTATTCATTTAGCCCGGCTTTCAGAGAGTGGATCTGATATTAGTTTGTTAACTGTGAAGGTGAATTTGGCTCATTATAGCCCAGACAAGAGTGCTTGCACACTTCCTATTGATAATACACAGAAATGTGTTGCATCACTACAATCACATCATTATTTGAATGAAAATTTACTTTAAGTGGACTTGACTGATATGGAGTTCAGCAAGGTGATAATTAAACATGGTAATGGTGCTGAATTGGACTATTGTAATATAAAAATGTTTCATTATTCTAAGTTGAAGTTACAGAACACGCTGATGAATGTTTTAAGACTGGTGAAGATAAAGATGTTTTTGCAGGTCATGAATTTGAATCCTGTGTGGCTTAGGTCAAGTGGATGACCTTTTGTGTCTGATCAGAGGAACTCTTGAGTCTTAGAATTAGCCTGGATGTTTGGATTTAGATTTGGAGCAAGTTGTAAATGCATCAGAGGATGTATCGATGAAAGTATGTGTTGTTTACTTCTGGATGACCATTAGGGCTTGCGCATTTGTGTTCATATTCTGGTGTTTGGTCCGCTGTTTTGTTTTTCGTATATTTTCACTGACGAACCGTCTTCAAAACTGAATAGCTTGATGAATACAAGGACGAAGCCCATTGTGAGTAGAAGGTGGAAGAGCCCTTAGCTTGGGGACTGGAATTTTTAGGTTCCAGCATGTCCAAGAAAGGGCGAAGAAACTCTGTAACCTAAGTAGGGAGCACGAGTCATTACTTCCACTTTCTTTAGTGACCTCACTGGTTGACCTGGAGCAGATTAATATGCTTCGGTCAAAAACGGGACTGAAGGAGTTGCAGTTCTACCTTCAAATTCATCTCAACAAATTAACGTTAATCCTTTTTCTCAACATCCTGTTTCTCATCACGTTTTATTAAATATAAATATTTAATTACTTTTATTAAATTTAATTATTAATTATAGAACTTTGAATTGATTTAACTAATGTATAAATTCACGCTTCTTAATGTAAGAATGTTCAGTGTCCTTGTTTCTCTTTTTGCCTGTCTTTTTAAAATTTGTTTTCAGGAGACACACACAAACCAGGTCATAGGTCATGGAGATCTCTCTCTCCCTCTGTCCCAGAGGAGAAGAAAATCACCTGTTCTAGTTGTCCAAATGTGGCGGGGGGACAAGAAATTTAATTAAACACCTTAAACGACAACGTCACCCGGTTAAGCCGGGAATAATAATAATCATTATTATATTTAACAGGCACCTATAGGTTCGTAGCCAAAGTAGGGTGAGCATGGAGACTTAAAATCAGAAAAAAAGCACTTTATTGAAATACAAAAGTTAAAATAATTAAAAATTCTTTTTAACATGAGCCTATTACAAAACAACAACAAAAAAGACAACAATAATCCAAAACAATAGAGTGGGGTACCAGCGGAAGTTTGCAAGTGTCCACAACACCAATACAAACACACACGCACACACACAGCCCCTATGAAAACACAGCAAACTTATTTTACACAGCAAGATCTGTTTAGCACAGCACTCGGTGTATATATACACACACACTAATACAATGCACCCAAGCTGGGTCTCCCCCACCCCCCTATAACCAAATAGGTTTCAAAGAAAATACACAGAAGACAGTTACAAAACAAATAGAAACTATTAAAGAAAAATATGAAAATCACAACCAAAAAGTAACAATTTAGAATAGACCTGAACAGAAAGGGAAAATTAGCAAAAATAACTCGAATGCATAACAAAAACAAAAATCACAATACGAATATAACAATTCAAACAAAAACTATAATAATCATAATATACAAAAGAAACAAAAATCACAAAATAAAGCTCCGGCAAAACAGCAGCGCTACCACCGCAGTTGTCAGACTTGGTCACCAGTCATTATAGAAACCCTTGTGCACAGTCACCTGTTGTCACAAAGCCACGATTTACAATAAAAAAACTCAATCAAAACAAACAAATGCTCTGCCATACATACCGTACAGATGTTAGAACATGGCCTCACTCTGCAAACATCGGAAGTTATTGGTAACCACTAAATCGGACGCCACCAACGCACAAAGCACACATCAAAGCGCCGGGAACCAGAGCAGGCAGAAAGCACGCCGAAAGAACAGTATCTGGTGCAGAGCAGCTGAGGACCAAACCAGTCAATCTTGGCAACACGTATAGTACAGTTACTACCCAAATATACTGAAGTGTACACAAACTCAACTTCCGCACTTACCGTTACTTTCAACCGGAAGGGTTTACCCTTCAGAAAAAAAGACGGCAACACCGATGACACATACCGAGTTACCAAATGCGCTCAACTTTTATACTTCCTAAACAGGATCTGATAGGTTTGATGACTTAGCATGACCCAGCCAATAGAAACTACAGTAATGGTCAACCCGGATCTCATAGGCTCAACAAGTTAGTGTTACACCAGCCAATAGCCATAAAGGGATATTCCACCCTGTTACACTGATGTTGTCTACAATAATTTACCTGTTTTGATTGTAATTCTTATTAAAGTAATTACTTTTGTGTGGAGATATTGTAAGGATATTGTAGCAGACTGTTGATGGAAACAGTCTTGAACCAGTTTGATAACACAGCTAAGCGTACAAGAAACATCCTTGAGTTTTTAACACAGGTGGTCTCTTGTGTCTATTGTGAACCTGGTTTAGCTTTTCACAGGTCGGAGATCAGCTCCTAATAACTTAGGGTCAACCTAACCCCCAGGAACCATGTCGCCATCCATATCTAGAGTTCGATACAATTCTTTCTTAACGCCTGCATTGAGGTCATCCTTATCTGGAGCTAGATACAATACTTCATTGACGCACACAATAATTTTTTTTTTAATGCAACCAATGAGAAATGTTTACCTGGATCATACCTTTTCTGGACTTGTGAACTCATTGCGAGTGTTGAAGCTGGCTTCTGCTGATGAAACTGCAAACTATCTTCAGTAAACTTATTTATTTGAATCTCTGACTCCGGCTCTTCTTCATCTGACAGACTGGTCATTCTTTGGGTTAAACTGTATACCATCCCTACCGTAGTAAACTAGAACCTAAAAGTAAATAATCTTTACTAATAAAAAATACAACACAGGACAATTGAATGTGCTTTCTAAACTTGAGGCCCTGGTATACTGCAAACTAACTGTCCTGGAGCTTCACCTTATTTGATGTGCGTGGTGTCTTCCCAGTGATGTTTCTCATTCAGGGAGTCAAGACAGAGAACATCATCCAAAACAACATTAGCTACATGAATACACTGGATAGTGTGGAGAGTGAGAGAAACACGACACATTTACAACCCCACCAACAACCCCAGTGTAGGAGTGTTGGAAAACAATATACCGTCGCTCAGCCTATTTAAACATTATTCAGACATGAAAAATCCTGTGCACATGGGAAAATGTTTTGCTGCATTCATATCATGTGTGCAACTTCTTGTCCATGTGTTTCTTAAGCTGCACCGATAGAGCGAAACTCTGTTGACATGGATCAGATCTGTACGGTTTCTCCAGTGTGAATCCTCTTCTGTTTTCAGATGTGTTAACCGATTAAACCTCTTGTCACAGTGTAAATCGTCTGGTGCAGTTTCAATTTTGGAGCTGTAAGAAAAGTCTTCTCACACTCAAACACATATCCACTTTAACACCAGTGCAGATCTTAATGTGTTTATTAAGGTTTGCTGATCGGTTAAAACTCTTTTCACACTGAGTGCATGTGAATGGTTTCTATCCAGAGTGGGTCTTCATGTGTTTATTAAGGTCTGAGGAGTTGCTGAAACTCATCCCACACCGAAGCTGCAGTCACACTAGAGTTTAAGCATGCAAAATTCTGTTGTTTGGTTTCTCTCCAGTGTGGATCCTCAAGTGTAAATTACGGGATGATGATTGGCTGAAACTCTTCCCACACTGAGTGCATGTGAATGGTTTCTCTCCAGTGTGGATCCGTATGTGTTTACTATAGGGATGGGAAGATTAACCGATATGTATCGATACGCGGTCATGCGCGTGCACGATGCGAGTGCATCAGTAGAGCAGCAGAGGATGAATGAAATTTTGGAAGCAAATCGAGATGCATCGGTTTTTGCGAGATGCATCGGTTTTTCCAAGATACAACTTATATTTTTAATATAGAATGTATTTTTTATTTATTACCAGTGTTGTCAACCAGTTTTTGGCGCATAATTTAATCGACCTACATAAAGTATGCATTAGCAACGGACTTGCGGATGTGTACACTTACACTACAACTCAGTGTATCAGGTGTGCGGATGAAGCTAGTGGTGCGCCCTCAGAAAGCGCGAGAAGCAAAACAAACATTTTATTCCTCACTGAGTTATAAATCTAAAGTATGGCAACATTATGGATTCTGCAAAAAGGATGGACGACTTGACAGGACAGATGCAATTTGCAAAATGTGCCGCGCATCTGTAAAATACACGGGCAGTACGACTAATCTGATATCTCACTTGAAGCGGCGCCTCGGTGTTGTTGTGGAAGCATCTTCCAGTGTTCCTGCATCCCTGGCTTCCTGCTCTGCTTCAACTGTAGCTACCAGCTCCAAAAGTGGTGAGAAAAGCATTGAAAGTTTTCTCCATGCGCAACAGTTCTGCTAGCTCTACGCCAATAACGAATGCTATTGCATTGTTCATCTGCAAAGATATTCAGCCTAGTGTCACGGAGAACGAAGGTTTTAAACACCTCCTGTTAATTTTTATTTATTTATATTTTTATTAGCCTGTTGTTTACAGTGACCATGATGTTTCAAAGCAGCATAACACTGCTAGTTCACGACCTTAAGGTTTTAACATTCAGTGGAACAATATATCTTTGTAAAACTTGTTTTCATAGTTGAAAAGTTAAATCACAATTCTTGTTGTGCAATGCTAAACCTTTATGTTGAAAGAGTGCAAATATATACATTTATAATATATATTGCACTTATACATTCTGTTTATTTTGAAAATACTTAAATAATATGTGCTATAGGTTCTAAAATGGCCCTCTACTGTAAACTGACTCTCTGGCTCTGAGAAAAGCCAGTTTGTAAAAAAAGTCGTGGTTTTGCTTGGTTAATAAGTAATCAAACTCATTCAATGGCACAGGATCCTTTCTTACATCATCTCATAAACTTGATCTAATAAGTTAGTGCTGAATTATCGCATTGTATTGTGATATGGGTGTAAATCGTATCGTGTTGCATCGCAATGTCACAAATATATCGCTAATATATCGGATCGTATTCTTTGTATCGGGATGCGTATCGGATCTGCATAATAGCTTACATGCCCAACCCTAGTTTACTAAGGTGTGATGAGCAGTAAAAATTCTTACCACACTGATTGCTTGTGAATGGTTTCTCTTCAGTGTGGATCCTCATGTGTTTATTAAGGTATGATGATTGGCTGAAACTCTTCCCACACTGAGGGCATGTGTATGGTTTCTCTCCAGTGTGGATCCTCATGTGTTTATTAAGGTGTGATGATTGGCTGAAACTCTTTCCACACTGAGGGCATGTGAATGGTTTCTCTCCTGTGTGGATCCTCATGTGTTTATTAAGGTGTGATGATTGGCTGAAACTCTTTCCACACTGAGGGCATGTGAATGGTTTCTCTCCAGTGTGGATCTTCATGTGTTTATTAAGGTTTGATGATAGGCTGAAACTCTTTCCACACTGAGTGCATGTGAATGGTTTCTCTCCAGTGTGGATCCTCATGTGTAGATTAAGGGATGATAATTGGCTGTAACTCTTCCCACACTGAGTGCATGTGTATGGTTTCTCTCCAGTATGGATCCTCATGTGTAGATTAAGGGATGATAATTGGCTGAAACTCTTCCCACACTGAGTGCATGTGAATGGTTTCTCTCCAGTGTGGATCATCATGTGAATCTTAAGTTTGTTTTTGCATGACAAACTTTTTCCACACTGAGTGCAGATGAAACAATTCTTGTCTTTCCTTTTTAAAATACTATCTGTCTGTAAATGAGTTTTTTCCTCAATTTTGACATGATGTTCCTCCTCTTTACTCCACTTATTCTCTTCAATTAGTTCTGAAATATACACACATATATATATATATTAAAAAAAAACATTCATTTTCATTAAGTCTTTAAAAATCTTCATCAAAAGCTGAAAAGTGAAAAGACACCGGAAACATTGGCTACACACACTGTAATTTTGATGCACATTAAATGCAAAATAAATCAGAACATATTTTGTTCGGTCCAATAATGGTGTACACATTTCAGCAGATTCAATTCAATTCATCTTTATTTATCTAGTGCTTTTACAATGTAAAATGTGCCAAAGTCGCTTAACATAGAATTTATTGTAAATTGAAACTGTCAGTCCAGTTTTCAGAGTTTCTTACATAATTGATCATAAGTCATATTGGTCATATTGATAAGACAGACTTGAAAGCTGTAAATGGCCTGTTTTTATTCGTAATCATTCATAATTACAACAAAATAGTTTTCTAAAATGTGTAAAGCCGACCAGGGCTCAAAATTAACCTTTTTGCTTGGTAGCACCAGTGCTCCTAATTTAAAAAATGTAGGCGCATCAACCAAAATTTAGTCGCACACACCAATTATAAGCATCATTACTACAAGTTTAATACAAACAGATTTATATCATTTGAAATAAACACTAATCAAACTAACAAGCAACAAAATGTATGCATGGGTGAGGAAAATATGTCTCAACGAAATCCCGTTATCACAAAAAAATAAATTTTTATAACATAAATGAGGGACCAAAAGATACACGGACCCCTCACCAGCCCTTCACGCACTGCTTGACATGAATGAATCTGTTAACGATTGCTGTGCTGTTCTCACGGGTGCAGTCTGATACTGCACTGACGCTTTTGACATATACTGTACCTTAGTATATGCATATGTCATGTGTATATAGCACATGTTCGTTGTTATTTCTAGCTCTCAAGTATATTTTGTCAATAATGGTGTAGCTTCGTAGTAAAACATCAAGAGCTGTTTAAATGGTTTTGTTTTATATGTGAGATCCCACATGGTAAGCTAGTTAAGAGTGGGAGTAGCTGGAAGTGTGTGCAAGTTTACATGCAAGGTTTTAATATTGTGTTGTTTCGTGTTTTTAAGTATTTGTGTGATCACCTCCCTTTTTTTTTCTTTTTTCTCTTTTTTTTCCATTCTCCCCCACACATCCCCCTACATACAAAACCCACAGATTCCTTTTAGATGCTACTGATAAATGTTTTCGACAGCCCTCCATAAAATGGGTGGAGTAAAGACAAAATTTACCAGTTGGAATGTACGTGGGTTAAATCACCCCGTGTAACGAAACAAGGTGTTCGCACATCTTAATAAGTAAAAGTCCGATATTGTATATTCACAGGAGACGCATCTGTTGAAAAAAGACTATTCTAAACTCAATAGAGGAGCACAAATATATCATTCTAACTTTAATACCAAAAGTAGGGGAGTTGCTGTACTCATACATAAAAATGTACATTTAGTTTGGGAGTCAAATGTGTTGGATAAAAATGGCAGATACAAAATAATCCAAGGTAAACGTTTTTTCACTAGGGATGCACGATATATCGGCGGCCATATCGTAATCGGCCGATAAACGCTATTTTTAAGATTATCGTTATGCTATTATTAAAATTATGTCGATATTTTTACGCCGATAAAATGCGTATTCTTTACATAGGCTAAACAAACTTACTGCCGCCACTGGGTTTTGAGCGTCGCATCTGTGACGTAGCACAAATCAAGCACGCGCTTCACACTCACAGTACACAAGAAGGAAGACAACATGTCAGCAGTGTGGGAGTTTTTCACCGTTAAAAAAGAGGACCCCAGAATTGCAATCTGCAACTGCTTCAAATGTGAGCTACTGCGAGGGGGGAGTAGGAAAAAAAATTTCAATACTACAAATGTGATAATCCATCTGAAGTGTCGTCATCTCGAAATCTATAAAGACTATCAGACTAAACTCGCTGCCAAAAAAGCACCAAGTTTAACCACAACAGAGAATCCAACGCAACAAACACTTGACAATATAAAGAAATTTGGCAAGGACAGTGCAAAAGCAAACGCTATCACAGGCAGAGTCATGGAAATGATTGCAATCGACGACCAACCTTTCAGCGTTGTGGAAGATTTTGGATTTCGTCGTCTTATTGAATTTATTGAGCCGCGCTACTCCCTCCCTAGCCGGCGGCACTTCGCTGCTGTTGCTGTCCCGGCTTTGTACAATGAAGTGTCAGCTCACATTCACACGCTTTTGGCAAAAAATGTGACTGATATAAGTTTTACAACCGACATATGGAGCTCAGATGTAAGTCCAGTGAGTATGTTAAGTCTTACAGCTCAGTGGATTGATGAAAACTTTGAGATGAAGAGGGCTATACTGCACGCACGAGAATGCCCCGGGTCTCACACAGGCGCTGCTATAGTGAGGCAACTCGAAAGCATGCTCGCTGGCTGGAACATAACTAAAGATGTGGTACATGTTGTGCTGCGAGATAACGGCCGCAGTATGGTTAAAGCCATCAAAGACTGTGGTTTGAAAAGTCTTGGATGCATGGCTCACACTCTCCAGTTAGCCGTACAGGAAGGAGTTCTGAGCCAGCGAAGCATTTCCGACTGTATGGCTATAGGGAGAAAAATAGTAGGGCACTTTAAATATTCTCATCTTGCAATGTCCCGAATTGGAGAGATACAGACAGAGCTGGAACTGTCGAAAAATATGCTGCAACAAGACACTCCGACACGTTGGAACAGTATGTTTTACATGATGTCAAGCTTGTTAGCACAGAAGCGAGCACTTCGTGCATATGGGACAGAATTTGAGCTTCCCGCATCCTTCAGCGCGCATCAATGGGGGCTAATTGAAAACACAACAACATTGCTTGCTCCGTTCGAAGAGCTTGCGAGAGAAATAAGTGCACACACGGCAACTGCTTCAGACGTGATTCCCTCTATTGAGGCTCTAAAGCGATTTCTATCAAATAATAATAAATATCTCCCATAGGACAGCAGGTAAATTACTGTATCCCCTTATTTAAAAATAAATGAACAGCAAAATAAGAAATTCTATTTTATTTAACTCCTAATATATAGAGGTCAAAACATACTTTAGTTTTTGTCAACAATGATCAATATGACAAGATTAAAATTATTTAAGCTGATATTAATGCTGGCTGTGAGTGTAAGGTGTTTTAAAGTGTTTAATTAAATCTAAATGCTTATGTTAAAGGAAATATTATTTTGCATTAATCTTTATAGGTAAATGCATATCTAAGTGAGCCACCCATTGCCAGGAGTGAGAGCCCACTGCAGTTTTGGAACCGCAATATGTCCCATTTTCTAGCTTTGGCCACCGCTGGACGCAAGTACCTGTCAGCTCCTTGTACCATAATATAAGCATTTGTTTAATAATAATTTTAAAACGGCATTAGTGCCCAGTGACGTTTTTAATGCTCAAGGACACCTTACAAACAGTAGGAGAACAATAAAAGCAACAACCTTAAGAAAGTAAAGAAAATTGGAGACTAATAGTACATAAAATAATGACAAAAGACACGAGAACAAGCAACAAAAAAGAAACTCATTTCTGTCTTTCAATGAGTGCTTATGTGCGTTTAGGAGAACTAGGCAGCACACTCAGGGCTGCAAGATGGATTTAATTTATTATTCTTATTATTAAAATATCTGAATGAGGATCAAATGACTGAGTTGATCTTTGAGAATAAAAAATTAACCTGTTTGTTCTTGCAGATCTTCCTGTTTGACTGTGAATGTTTCTTCAATCTTCACATCTTCACTCTCCTCTTTAATAAACACCATCTTTATAACAGTGTGGAGATCAGTCGCTTCAGCAGGAGTTTTTATCTGTGTTTGGACACTTTATCCTGTTTAAAATGAACAAAACAATAAAAATGTCCTGTTTAAAATAAATAAAACAATGAACAGAAACAAAATAACTTCTCTTCAACACTTGCTTCAACAGTTTCTTTATATGAGAGTCATTAACAAATAGAGGTAAAGTTGGTTTTATGTTCACACATTCAGACTTTCCCCTTAATAATATAATTTCATGAAAGTATTATTTGCAAACTCTAAATAGCGAAATCATATTAGCAACAAATGACTACCAAAGTACAACATTGTTCACAGTTAAATAAACAGTGTTAATGTTGTTTTCAAGTCACACTTGCATACTAATTCCGATCAAATATTCAAAGTAACATGGTAAACAATGTAGAGACTTGTAAATGAACGAATGTGCGAATATAAAACCAACTTTACCTCTATCATTAACAAACAGAAATCAGAAAAGTCTGATCAAGAAGAAACAATAGCCACTGATCAGCTGATTAAAACTAGTACTCAATTTCTTATATATAGTGATGTATATTTATAATGGAATGACATTGTGCTATTCAATCAATTAAACTTTCATTAAAACACTTATTACAAACTTTTACTTTATTCAAGTATCTTCTTAATTGTTTTGTTTGTTTTATTTATCTTATTGTCTGTTTATAGCTTTTTTTTTGCACAAGACAAATTTCCTCTCTGGAACAAAAAGTTTATCCTATCTTTATTTAAAAAATGGACCTCATTACTGTAAGTTTTAGTAAATAGTACTACTTTGTATAAGGGTTAAAATAATATTGTCAACAGGTACATAATTTAGCACTGAATGAAAACACTGAAACTTTAATCAATCGCTTTATATAAGGGTAAACGCTTCAAAACAAACCTTTCTCCAGTTGAATCACAGCGTGAGAGCGGCGCAGGCTTATGACGTCACAAGTCACGCCAAAATAAAAGTCTTTTTTTTTTTTCTTTTTTGCCACTTACTCTTAGTCATGAGTCATGACTTATTATATATAGTTTTTCTCTGCGTTTGGACACTTTTAACAAATTAACAAAGCAATTACCATAGCAATAAAAATGTCCTGTT